TCCTATAGCCATTTTTATCTTTTGTTTTCTGGTAGTTCTGTGCCTCCATTGGTTCTTTTCCTTTGTGTTTCTGTCTGTTCTTTTTGCTTGGTGGTATTTCATACTTCTTTCCTCTGTTTTCCCTTTTCCTATGCTATGTGTCTCAGTGGTGTGTGTGTGTGATTACCATTAGATTTATAAAAAAGAATGTTTCTTATATACAGTAGCCCTTTTTCTTTTCAACACATCTGATCTCCATCCTCGTTGCACATCCAGACCTTCCCCCTCCCCTTTTATGTTTTTGTTGTCACAAATTATCCCTATTTATGCTCTAAGTTTATTGGTGATGTTATTGGTAGTGTTGTGACCTTTTCTTCGTTTCAGGTAGAATGACCCCCTTGAGTATTTCCTGCAATGGAGGTCTTTTGGTGATAAATTCCCTCAGCTTATGTATGTCTGGAAAATTCTTTATTTCTTCTTCATATTTAAAGGATAACTTTGCTGGTTATATCATTCTTGGCTGGTAATTTCTTTCTTCCAGTAGTTTGAATATTTGGTTCCACTCTCTTCTGGCTTGTAGAGGTTCTGCTGAGAAGTCTGATGGTAACCCAGTGGACTTTTGTTTATAGGTTACTTTCTTCTTTTCCCTGGCTGCCTTGAGAATTCTTTCATCATTTATTTTTGACAGTTTTAATACAATGTACTTTGAAGAAGGCGTTTTTGGATTAAGGTAACTAGGTGTTCTGTTTGCTTCTTGGCTTAGAGGGTATAGTTCTTGCCATAGGTTTGGGATGTTCTCATCCACTATTTGTTTGTTTGAATAGGATCTCCATTCTTTGCTCCCGCTCTTCTTCTTGTGGTATGCCTATGATTCTTATGTTGTTCTTTCTGATGGAGTCAGGTAGTTCTCGTAGAGCTCTTTCATTGTTATCATGCTCAGGGCTCCCTCTTCTTCCCTCTGAGCCATTCCTAGATTTCTATCTTTGATATCACCAATCCTTTCCTCCATTTGGTTTGCTCTATTTCCTGCGTTCACTAGTACATTCTTCATCTTTTTGTTGTTCTTGTTGTCACCCCAGGATATTTTTCCATTGATTTTTAGATATGGTGGAAGGGTGGGAGGGGGAGAGAGAGGGAGAGAAATATTGATGTGAGAGAGACACATTGATTGGCTGCCTCCCGCACAACCCCAACCAGGGCCAGGGATCGAAACTATGACCCAGCTCGGCTGGTGTGGCTCAGTGGTTGAGCATCGACCCATATACCAAGAGGTCACTGGTTCAATTCCCGGTCAGGGCACATGCCCAGGTTGTGTGTCTAATCCCTAGTGGGGGACATGCAGGAGGTGGCCGGCCAATCAATGTTCTCTCTCGATGTTTCTGTCTCTCTCTCCCTCTCTCTTTCTCTCGCCCTAAAAATCAATAAAGAAAAAAAAGTTAAAATGAAACTACAACCCAGGTACATACCCTTGAGTGAGAATCAAACCCGTGATCCTTTGGTTCAAGGGCTGAGTCTCCAACGACTGAGCCAAATCAGCCAGGGCAATTCTTTATCTCTTTTATTGAATTATTCATACACAGAATTTCTGTTTGGTTTTTTTGTATGTCTGTTTCTATATATTTGATAAAGTACTTGTTTTGTTTGTTAATTTATCTTCTGAGTGCATTAAATTGCCTGTCTGTATTTTCTTGCATCTTGTTGAGTATTTTCAGAGCTGCAGTCTTGACTTCTGTCACTTCTGTCACATATTTCCACGTCTCTGAGTTTGTCCTCTGGAAAAATTGTTTTCTTTTTGTTCTGCCTCACTACCATGGTTATTCATGGTATTTGATGGATTCTTTCTCAATGTAGGCATCAATGTGTGAGTGGCATTTCTCCAGAAAGAGGTATTTCTATTATTTTCCAGTAGGTGGTGCTGAATCACAGGTTTTCTTTAGTTCTGGGAAAACCCAGTGCCAACCGGCCTTCTCTGGCTGCTATCAGTGTAAACCTCAGGGGTTGGGAGGGCTGGGGAACCCACCAGATTCTTTGTCGTTCTGCCCTCCCAGTAATGGCAACCTAGGTCCTCCACAGGGTTGCCCCTACACCCTGGCCCCAGGACCGGTCACAGAGTACACCCTTTGCTCAGGGAGAAATGTTATTCTGTAGTACTAGTTCTTGGTTTCACAGATAATGTGCTCCACAACCCAACACCAAAGGGAGGCCTGTTCTGGGAGGTTAAGGGGAGGCTAAGAGGAGGTGGCCATGCTCTGTGGCTTTGTTTCTCTGTCTGAAATGCCAACTGCACAACCACCGCGGCAGCACTCTCATGCTGTGTGTCTTTACCCAGGTCTCTGGTGCTGTCCGCCCAGGGCTCTCAGCTCAGTTACAGCTCATACTGTTTACTCCTGCGGGAGTGCCACTGAGTCTCTTTGCTCCTCCTGGCTGAAAGGAGTGTCAGCCACAACCGAATTCCTCCTCTCTCCAGCAGTTTCACCATGAGCTCTGGGCTGCCAGACTGAATCCCTGACTGTATCAGCCTCTCTCCCTTTTCCCCTCCCTCTTTTGCTCCATTTGCCCGCTTTAGATGTTTCAGTGCATGGATCTCTCAGGCATAATTGTGCACTGAGCAGGGAGTCCTTTATGGAGTTACAGCTGTTCAAATTGTTGAAACTTCAAGGGGAGAGACCAAGGGGATCTTTCATGCTCCATTCTTTCTCTATTTTAATGTAATTCATATGTGGATCACCAAATTTCAAAAGATTAAATGACAAAACTATTAAAGCTTCTCTAAGTATATATATATACTTTAATGGGAGATGATTCAGAAGGCATCTGCACTGCTAGAAATCACTCATTCCCTTATATTTGCTCGATAAAATAGATCTCCCATGCTGGAATATTGGATAAATGAGTATTAGCTGGGGGTGGAGGGAAAGTTGGAGGCAATGGTATAAGGAAATGACTTTGGAGTCAGACTGACAGTGATTGCAATCCTGTCTCTATCCCTTACTAGTCTTGTGATCCTCTGTAAATTACTCTGAGCCTCAGGTTCATTGTCTGAAATTTGAGGGTAATGATGGTAGCCATCTCACAGGGTCTTTCACAGGGAAGAAGGTAAAGAATTAAATGAGATTGTGATTATAAAGCACTTAATACATTTGAGAGCATATAACAAGTATTTAGTAAATAACAATGGCGGTTATTACATGACTGGGATTCATCCAGCTGCCTGGGATAATAAAGGCAGCTTCAGAATTTCTGTTAGGAGGAGCTCAAGAGCAGCAATCACATTGGCAGGTGGGTAGGACATTGCTATTACATTGATTCTATGCTTAATCGGAGAGGAGGAGGAAGAACTTGAGAAGATTTTGCTAAGAGTGTCTAGATGCCTGTGTTTACACCAGATATCACTTCTCCCTTTATACTGACCTAGCAGAGAAATCCCACTTAGCACCCAGCGCTGCTTCTCCTTGACTTCATTGAAAGTCTCCATTTGGGGGGGGGGAGGGGAGGAAAGGGGGTTTGCTCTGTGGTTTTATTGGTCACAGACAGCAGAGTGGTCGCTCCTGAGCACAGGCTGGTTTCCAGGACCTTGTCTGACCCCCAGGGACACCAATCAGACCCTTCTGCAACCTTATCTGAGGCCTGCAGGACACAGCCGGACAGATGTCTATTCTCAGCACCAGTTCAGGTTGAATATATACTGGGGCATGGAGAGCCTTGGCCAATCTCTCTTGCTCCTGCTGGGACACACTCCTCTTACCCAAAGAGAAGCTTGACCTTGGGTTCTGGAGGCCCATTCTCTATGTTTGAAATCCACCTTTAGTTAGCTTGTGATCTTTGGTCAGGTTATTTTTATGTGCCTAGTTTTCCCCATACCAAGACTGATTCCAAAGACTATTATTAATCTGGAGGGTTTAGTACAGAACCTGCACATAGTAAAATTTCAATAAATATCAACCGTGATTACTGTACATGCCCCAAATCCTTAGCTAGGGCAAGGGTCTCAAGGTCTGGGCCATTCTTACTGAAGGCTACTCTTGCTAAATGCAAAAAAAATGTAAAATGTAGCATAGCATTTTGCAGACCAGCTGTAAATAGGACAAAATTGACAGGAGCCTAATTGGTAAGTGTTACCACCCGAAGAAACCTACACGTAATTGACCAAATAGTGTATATAAGCAATGGCTAAGCCTCCCTTCAGGGTGACAGGGCTTTGGTTACAATCCTGTTTCCTTTACTTGCTACAAGGGGGAGAAAAAAAAAACTACCTTGTAACGTCTTATTCTTGAATAGAACAGCCAAGAGGTGAACCACTTGAGTTGGTAACAAAACCAAAATAGACAAATCAATTAATTTGCTCTGATTATATGGTGAAAGAGCCTTCGTTGTAGTTATAGTCTCGACGCTGACACACTGCATAATCTTAGACAAGATGCCTCTCTCTCTGGACCTCAGTTTCCCTATCTGTCACCTGATAAGACTTCATAAATTTAAAAAACCCAGTCAACATTTACTGAGTTGCTGTCATTTTCCAGGCTCTTAGCAGTGGGAGCTCAGGGTTACAGTAATTACCCAGGCCCTGAACACACTCATGGGGCGGGGAGGGGCACTGAAAGTGGGAGGCTTGTTTCACTCTGCTTGGGGGTAAGTGGAAAAAGGCATTTGAACAACGCTTGAAGGATGATTCACTGGAATTTGCTGAGTGGATACTGGCGAGGCTTTGGTTTCCGTGCCTTTCAAAGCTGAGTTTTCCCAGGGCCTGCATTCCGACGTAAGTCCAATCCGTTACCGCTGCCGAGTTCACGGGAGGTCGGCACCAGGGAAGCCGCACAGCACCGGCGGCCGCTCGGCGGAGGGCCAGGCCCGGTCCGCGCGAGGGGCGCAGGCCTCACGGGCTGAGCGGGCGGGCGGGCGGCGCGGGGACGAGCGCGGGCGGCGCGGGGACGAGCGCGGGCCGCCGCACGCTCCGGAGGGGGCAGGGGGCAGGGGGCGGGGCCGGCCGGCCTCCCGTGAAGCCTCGCGCGGGGACGGACCGGAACTCCGGGCCGGCGGCTTGTTGATAATATGGCGGCAGGAGGTGCCTGGGCATCTCGAGGAGGCGGTGGGGCCCACACCTCGAGGAAGGGTCTCTTTTCGGGCTAGTGCGGCGGCCGCTGCGGGCCCGAAGTCCGGGCCGGTTGCTGAATGAGGGGAGCCGGGCCCTCCCCGCGACAGTCCCCCCGCGCCCTCCGACCCGACCCGGGCCCCGCCATGTCCTTCTTCCGGCGGAAAGGTAGCAGAGGGGCGCGGGCGGAGCGCCTGTCCGGCCTCGGGCGGCGGCGGGGCTGGGGGGCCTCCGAGGGCTTCCCACGGGGGCGGGAGCGGGGCCCTGGGCCTCCCGGAGACGCCCCCTGCGTGCGTGCGCTGCTCCAGGACGCGGGAGGGAGAGGGCCTCCGCGCGGGGTCGCTGGGGAATTGCCCCCCGCTCCAAAACTGTTTGCGGAAATGTGCACCAGTTAATGCCTCTTCGCCTAAGGATAGCTTTTCGGGTGCGTGCCTGTGTGAGTGTGTGTACACGTGTGTGTGTACACTGTGGATCAAGGAAAAGGAAATTCCTTTAGGACCTGGTTGCGGAAGTCGCTGACTTTTCAGAATATTGGGGGTTTTATGTCTAAAAGCAACATGTGAACAAATTGTTTTCTTCAACTAGTGCTACTTTCCGGTTTTCCCTTTCTTGGGGGTTGGGGGAGCTGCTGTTCCTAAAATGACATTACTTAACTTACTGCTAAAAGTTCCCTAATGAAGAAGACTAATTCTTTTCATGACTTAGCAAGTTTACTAACTACTGGAACGCTAACTTTATAAGCAAACCACTTATATTTCTGATTTTTAATTTCAGTCATAGCTGCCCAGTTTTTAAGTAAAGAGGTAGCATGATTGTGTGTGTGTACTGGATTGCTGCATTTAATTTAAAAACAAAAACAAAAAAAACACACCCAACGAGATGACAGGGGTTCTTGTATCAATTTTTGCTGCTTCAGAGAAAATGTACCAGACAAAAAATGGTTTTGGGAAAAGCACTAAACTAAATCAGGGACCGGTTCACATGACAGCCCTTCCTACTAACTGTGTAACCTAGGACAGATAAGTGTTAACCAGCTTTGCTCTCCTCTGTCAACTGAGAATTAGATGTTCTCTAGAGGCCCCATTCAACTGTGACTATGAATTAAAGAATTCCTTTTCACTACATACAAAGTGTGGTGAATGAGTGGAAACAGTGCTAAATAAATGAAATCCAGTAAAGTGGTACCAAGGAAGTAAGGTGCCTTGTAGTTGATACCTGTCTAGTTGTTTTCTTTTTGTTGTGGTTGTTTTTACAGGGGCAGGGGGAAGCATTTTATTTATAATGAGACAAATTGCATGTTGCACAACAGACTGTTGTCTCTATTGAACAAATACTTTTCAGTGTCTGCTGTTTGCCAGGCACTATGCTAGGCCCCTAGCATAGAGCACTGAACTAGACAAAGTCCCAGAACCCATGGAGCTTATTGTCTGCTGGAGCAGGCAGTCAGTCTCTCTCTCCTACTGTGTTTTGAAAGAGGTAACTGGACAGAAGAAATATTTAGGTTGGATGTTAGAGAAAGGCCTCAGTAGGTGGCCTTGAAATGTAGAGCTGAGAGATCAGCAAGAGGCAACATGTAGAGGCCAGGGAGGAGCATTCTATGCATAGAAGAGCGTGTTCAAAGGTGGGGAGGCAAGAAAATTTGGTGTCCTTCAAAAAAGGAAAGAAGGATATGTGACAGGCTTGGAGAGGTAGATGAGTCAGATGATCAGAGGTTTATAGACCGTGGTTAGGTTTTATTCCATCTGCAGAGACAATATTATTTTAAAAAGTTTAAAGAGGAGTGTTTTGACCTTATTTTATGTTTTGAAAAGATTATTGTAGATGTTTTGTGGAGACTGGATGTGAAGAGAGCAGAAGCTAGAGATGGCCTTCTTTATTTAGGGACCCCATCCAGTCTTTAATTACCGTTTTAAATACTACCCTTGTGGCCCTGGCCAGTTTGCCTCAGTGGTTAGAGCATCAGTCAGTGGACCAAGGAGTCACGGGTTTGATTCTGGTCAAGGGCACGGTTGCAGTTCGTCCCTGCCCTGGTCCGGTCCAGCCAGTTGATATGTCTCTATCACGTTGATGTTTCTCTCTGTCTCTCTGTCTCTGTCTGTCTGTCTGTCTGTCTGTCTCTCTCTCTCTCTCTCTCTCTCTCTCCCCCTCCCCCACTCTGTCTGATAATAAGTAGAAAAATATCCTCAGGCAAGGAATAAAATAAAAAATACTACCCATATGCTGATGACTCCCAGATTTATGACTCCACCTTGGATTGTCTCCATTGAATTCAGACTGGCATATACTGTTGTCAGTCTACTTTATACCTCTGCCTAATAGATATCTAATAAATAGACTATTGATAGTTATCACTATTGATAGATAAAATAAGGTATCTAATAGATAAATTTTTACCTTAATATATCTACCACTTAACTCCAGATTTAGTTCATAGCTTTTCTCATCTCAATAAGTTTCATTTCTGGCCTTTAAATTGCCCAGGCAAAAATTTTAGTACATTTTTGGACCTCTCTTTCACTCCTACTCTATATCTAATTTATTAGCAATCTGTTAGGTCTATCTCAGAACATATCCAAATTCAACCACTTCTCACCATCCCTGAGCTTACCACCCTCACCTAGGCTATCATCTCTATTTAGATTGGGTGGTTAAGGAAGTCCTCTGAGAGGATGCCATTCCTATCTCAGCTTAAATGAGAAGAGGAAGCAGGTTTTATGAAAATTGAGAAGCAGCATTATTTTGCTTACAATTAGGTTTCTCTTCTTCCATCCTTGACCCCTATGATATATTTTCAAAATGTCTCTGCTCAGATTCCTCCAGTGGCTTTCTATACATGACCCTCCATAATCTAGGTCTTATTTCCTCTTTATGTCCATCTCCTGGTCTCCTTCCATTTATGTTGCCCTCCTTGTTGTCAAGTGTATTCCCAACTCAGTGCCTTTGCGCTTGTTTTCTCTGCCTGTAAACCTTTTCCCGCAGATACCCTCCAGTTTTGCTTCCTCATTTCTTTCAAGTTTTTGATCAGTTGGCATCTTAGTGAAGCTTTCTTTGACCATCCTGCTTGAGATTGCAGTCCCTGGCCTCTGCATTTTCATCCTCTTGCCCTACTTTATTTTTTCTCTATAGCATTTATCACCATCTGCTTTACTATGTATTTTATTAGGATAGAAGCCTTTTGTTTTTTTAATGGCCTTATCTATGTCTAGGTCAGTGCCTGGAATATCGTTAGAAATTTAGTAAAGATTTGCTGAATAAGTGAATAAAAAATAAATAAATAAAGTATCTGCTAGCAATAAGTGCTGTGCAGGGAATTTAAACAGTGATGTGGGAGCAGAACACTGGATAACAATTTACTTTCAAGGGACAGCTTCTCTGTCAAGATGGTATTTAACTAAGATCTGAATGAAGAGAGAGAGCCAGTCTTGTGAAGATAAAAGGAACTGCATTCTAGCCAGAGAGAACTGGTAGTACAAATGTCCTGAGGCAGGAATGAGCTCCACGTGTTCCGTGTTCGAGGAACAAAAGGCTGGGACTCACTTGGAGAGGAGGGGAGTGATAGCATAGAGGTAGAGATAGCATGACTTGAATAGTAATTGAAGCAAAGTAAAACTAGAAAAGCTTTTGGCTTAGAGCTTGGGGTAGGAGGAATCAGGAATTCTCTTTTGGCTGTTGTGACTTTGCAATAACTTTTGGACATCCATGTGGATATGCCAAGGAAGCAGTTGGATGTACAAGTCTGTAGTTCTGGAAGAGGTCAGAACTCGAGATCTGGATCTGGATTTAGAATTAACTTTGCATAAATGATAATTAAAGACATGGGACAAGATGAGATCGCCTAAAGAGTGCATATAATATATGTAGACTTCTTTGACCACCCAATCACCCAAACTAAATAGAGATCGACTGACTAGGTGAGGGTGTTAAGGTCATGGTGTTATGTTGAAAGGTTAAATTACCATAACAAAGAGACACTAAGGTGCAATGGCTCAAACAAGATAGGCTTTTATTTTTCTCTTGTGTAACAGTCCAGGTTCCTGGTCATCAGGTGGCTTTGCTTCACGATCATTCAAGGATCCTTTTTTTCCCATCTTGTTATTTCTCTTTCCCTTGGGTTGTGGTTTGTTTTATCAAAGGCAGGTCATAGCTTCTTCTGTCTGTTCTCAGTCCTCTCACCCATAATAAGGGGGGAATGTATGAAGGAAAGAGAAGCTTTGGCCAGCAAATGGCACATACCATTTCTATTCACACGCTAGTCACATGATCATAGATATCTGCAAAGGCTTCTAGGAAATGAAGAGTAGCTAGCCAATTATGTGCTGGGCTATAACTAATAAGGGGAGAATAAGTTCCGAGGCCAGGTAGCATCTCCTGCCATACTGTAGACAAGAAAGGAGCCTAGGAGAGGGCTCTGAGGTTAATCCAAATTTTAGAAGTTGAGAAACATACACCATTAGAAAGGAGAATTACTGGATTTCCGGTCAAGATGGCGGGTAGGTAAACACGGTATCGCGCCCTCCCACATCCACATCAAAGTTACAACTAAACTACAGAACAACCATCATTCAAAGCTGCCTGAAATCAAGCTGAATGGAAGTCCTACAACTACAGAATTAAAGAAGCAGCCACATGGAGACTGGTAGGAGGGGCGGAGGCAGACAGGCTGGTCCCACACCCACGTGTGGCGGATAAAAATCAGGGGAAGGTCCTCTCTGAGGACTGAGGGGTCCCCATCCCACACCAGGTGCCCCGCTCAGGGTTCCGGTGCCAGGAAGAGAATCCCCATAACTTCTGGCTGGAAAAACCAGCGGGAACTGAGGCTCAGGGAGGCTGAGGCGGCTGAGGCGGCTGGAGCCCCAGGCAGCTCCTCTTAAAGGGCCCGCACACGGACTTAACGGACTTGCTCCCTCTAAGCTTGGAGGGGAGGCAGCTCGTGGGGTGCCAGAGACATACAGGGAAGAACTGAGCTGTTTGGCACTGGAGTGAGGGCTGGAGAGGGGGCTTTCTCCGGGACAAACATGCTGTCAGAGGCTTTTGTTCCTTTGGTGAGCCCTTCCCTGGGGCGGCAGACAGCTGCCATATCTGGGACTCTAGCAACCTGGCTCACACTGGTGATTCCCTGAGGCCCTGCTCAACCCAGTTTTCAGGACCAACCAAGCTGTTGCCAGTGG